CATCTGGGGGTCGGTGCATTGCTGAGGTACGGTTTCATTTGGGGAAGATTTCCCCATTGCACAATAAACCTCCAGCTCAGGAGCCAGGCTCCTTGCCCTTACATTAGCTTCACCACAGGTCTGCACGAGAAGCCTGCCGGCAGCAAGGCAGCGCCGAGGCAGCTCCGGAGCACGCAGAGCCTGACTTACGGCCGCCTCTGGCCTGCGGATCCCCTGGTAAGCTGCACATTTCTCTAAGCTCTGCAGGATCTTCCTCCGAGCGCCGATTTAGGCCAGCCTCTTGGCCCCGCTTCGTTCTGCCACTAATTGCCATGCACTTGGCTGCAAGCTCATCGGGGAGGAGGCATGCCGTGCTAGATTTAGCTCAGACTATCCTATAAGGAACAGAGAAGGGGTTTCTTTTTTTTTTTTTTCCCCCTTTTTCCTCCCAGTTGCTAAGGAACTACGACTTTATTGCATTAGAAACCGGCGAGAGCAGCTCGGCAGATGCGGGTTCGGTGGGCGGGAGGCGATGTTCCAGCCCCCCCCAGCACAAATCACCTCAGGAAGCGGCTGGGGGGGAAAGGGACTGAGAGCTGGGGGGCCCCAGCTCCCTCCTCCCCCCTCCCAGCGGGGCCGGAGCCCCCCAAATCCCCTCCAAACCTCCCCTCAGCGCCCCCCCTTTCGCCTCCCGCACCTTTTTGACCCTCGTCCCCCGCCGTAGCCTCCCCCTTAGCAACCGGCGGCCCCATAGCAACGGGGCGGCCCCATAGCAACGCGCCCCCCCCCTCACCGCCACCCCCCCGCCCTTCACCCTCACCGTTCTGCGCGGCGGAGGGCGCCGGCAGCAGGCTGGCCGTCAGCAGCAGCAGGGAGAAGGCGGCGGGGAGCGGCCCGGAGCGGGACATCCTCCTCCTGCTGGTCGGGGCCGGGGGCGAGCGGGAGGCGGCTCCGTCCCCGTCCTTCTCCGCCGACCTCCTACCGCAGCGCCGCCGCCGCCGCCGGCTCTCGCGAGACTTCGGGGCCCCGCCGGGGGCGGGGGAGGCGCGGTCACGTGGGGGGGGGGCGGGCGGGAAGGGCGGGAACGCCGCTCTCCCCCCCCCCTCCCCTCAGGCGCCATCTTGTGCTGGGCTCGGGGAGGGGGACGCTGGGTGACAGCGTCTCGAGGATGTGGTCTTGAGGCTGGAATGGGGCTGGAGGAGCCGGCTGGGTGCTGGAGGGGGGTGGGGGGGTGAAGGAAGGTGTCCGAGACTCGCAGCTGCGAGGTTTGGGTGCTCTCGCAGGGAGTCCTGTCTCCACAGAGCCCCCCCCCGCCTCAGGGCGCTGAGGTGAGGAGGGTGAAGGCGCCTCTGCGCCCCGCCAAGCTGCGACCTCGCTTCTGGCCTTCGTTCTCAATAAAAATGTCAGCAGATAGCCGTGGAGGCAGGCTGGGGCCCTGCTACCCTGCATACCCTCTTGCAAGACCACAATTTTCACAGCCATTATTATCAAAAATAATTAAAGAGTTTCACCCCCCCCTTCAACATCAGCTGCGAGTGTTGCTGCAACTCCAAATCCATCCCAAAGTGTTCCCCTTTTAGACACAAATAGATAAACTGCACCCCTGAAACACCAACAAATGTGGTTTTTTGTTCCCTCAGACACGCAATAAGTTTAAACAATTTTATCAATTGTCACCTGCCTGCGTGTCTTTTCCCCTTGCATCAGGTTTCTGCATGGAGTATACCTGGCAAAAGCATTCTGCTTTTATGAAAGGACAATGCAGCGCGTGAAGTTTTGCAGTAAATAATAAATGGGAAAACGCTGGGAAAGCCCCTCATATGAGCAGCTTCGTCCTGCGCGCCTGCCTGAGGTCTGCTTGTGGTTAGGGCTGCAGACTGCCAGCACACAAGCCTACTTGTTGATAAACAAACAATAAAAAATAAATAAAACACTTGTGTTTTTTCAAGTGCAGGGCTCTGCCCTTCTGATTGCACAGATCTGAAGCTGAGGCCACAAGAAGTGAAGGCATTTGCCCCAGGTCAGTGGTGGAATTGGGTGCAAAAAGCTCAGAAATTCACTCCTGGTTCACTGGACCTGCCAAGCACCCCTAGAAATAGTTGTGGTTGCACCTCAAGGCTTGCTGGGTGAACTTTGGGCTGGTCACCTAAGTTTTCTCTTTATTTCCCTTCTTGTAGACTAAAGATATTGGGTCAGACCTACTACTTATGCTCGGGTTGCTTTGTACTGCGCTGGTGACCCCAGCTGATGGTAAACGCAATTTAGCTGACATAAAAGCGGATCTCTGGCTGCTCTCCCTCCTGGGCTGGCACACAGTTGGAGTGTGCTGCTGAACACTTTAACACACATCCAAGGCGGGGAGATTTGCAGGAGACTGGAACACAACACCACAGAAGGATGCTGAAAAAAAGATAAGAATAAAGAAAATCCCTCAAGAGCACATTTTCTGCTTTTTGCTGAGTCCTCTGTCTCCACTCCAGAGATCTCTGCATGCTCAGGACTCCCAAAAATGTCCAAAGATTGTCTAGCTTCTTCCTCTCCCACAAAAGGGGCTCTGGGAGGATGTTAATGCAACCAGCAGTTGTTTCCCTTTCCAGGCAAAGCTTCCCGGCCATTAAATCCCATTGCAGAAGCTTCTTTGAGCAGGGTGCAGCGGCCACGCTAATTGTACCCTGGCTCACTGGCTTCACTTGGAGCAGCTCTTTGACGTTGCACCCCGGATCGCTTCGCCTCGTTATCCTCAGCTGATTGCTAGCAAACAGAATCGGAGTCCTTTCATTGTTGGCGTGAGTCAAGGAGTGAAAAGGAGGATCAGACACACCTTTTTCACGGAAGCCCTGCTACTCAGTCGAAGCGGATGAAATTGCTGCTTGAGCGCTTCAGGGCTTTGATGATGATGATCACGGGCTTAGGATCTGCTGAGGTCACAGCAGAGAAACCTTCAGGCTGTGCCCAACCCTGGCTGGCCATGGCTCTCCAAGGATGCCGTGATACTGAACTCGATCTGCATCATCTGTTCCACTGTGCCGTGTATCCTGCGCTTGAGCATTTCCATGGTGCATTTCCATGACTCACTATTCTTGCCAGCTGAATCATCTGTGACACTACTATTTGTTTTCTTGCCATGGCGCAGAAACATCCTCTTTTCTCCCCGTGTTTGTTGTTCCCTGGAACGGTCCTCACAGTAGCTCTAGAAAACCAGAAGGAATAGGGAAAAAGAAGCAGAAAGCAAGATTTCACATGGTGCTCTCCTTCCTTCTGCTTTCTGCATGCTGTTTTGCCTGCTCCCGAGGATTTTGCTGTAGCTCTCATTTTCGCAGACACCCACTCGGCATTAGGCCTTACCTACACTCGAGTGTTTTCCAAGTTTGGAGCTAGTTAGCGATGTACTTGCCTCCGAGCATGGTTTGTATCTGCACAGTAATACTTGTTTCGTAACCATGGCAGCTCGCCGTGACTCATGCTGCCGGAGGCCTGGGCCGAAGTTAGCAGAAGGCTTGGGCACACTGTTGTTTCCCTTTATCTTCTCCCCACCGTTGCGTAATTCATCTGTCACGTTTGCACTGCTCTGGCTCCATCCTGGGGACAATCCCGGGACATGCTGCCCTGCTCGCCAGGAGCTTTGCTCCGCCAGAGAGCAGGGAGCAGTTGCCGGGGTTTCCCTCGAGGTCTCTGATTACCCAGAGCGGCTAACGAAGGTGCCCCACAGATGGAGTTGCCCTGTGGTTTTGTGGTTGAGGCAGAGCGTACCACACAAGGAACAAAAGCAGAAGATCACTGTGCTGACGGACCCCACCTGAAGCCTGCTGTTGTCTTTGAGAGTCTTTTGGGGAGCTTTTGGGTTTCTACAGATTCCCTGATGTATTTTGCCAGTGTCTCAGGCGTCCAGCACGGCTAGCACGGGAGAAAAAGCTGTTCCCTCACTGGGCACAAGTATGTCCTCTTTTAACAGGTCACACTTTTAGTGGAGCTGTTTAGAAAAATAGGAGTTGCCAGCAGTGGGTGCAACATAGCAGCCTGATGGTAAGAAAAGGGTTTTATTCCCTGAGGCAAGTGTTCCACTTGTTTTTTGGGGGATGTTTTTTCGCTTGTACAGTGATTCCTGACCTTGTGAGTGGAAAGCGGAACTCGGACACAGATTTTCCAGAGTAACTCACAATCCCCACACTTCCCCTTCACTCGAGACCCATCTTCTTTTCTCCTGGCACGCATCAATCTGGGTTATTCTGTGAGACTTCAGCTAAAGCAGGGCAGAAAGCGTGGGATCCAAAACAAGCAAAGAGGAAAAAAATCATCATACGAAGTTCCTGTTCTTTTTCCCACTGCAGAGCAGCAAGGAGGCATCGTCCTTTCGTGTGTGTGTGTCATCTTTGAGCTGTCTTCCTGCAACTGGAAGCATTTAAGACATCCCTGTTATTTTGATGTATTTATTGATACACTTTGGCACTTGAAGAAAGCTTTGCCTCGAGAAGTCTCGCTCGCAGTCACCTTCTTTTGAATCTATTATTGGAAAGCTGAAAATGTAGGGTAGAGCGTGAAATGCTTGGTGACGTCTAGCAGTGAAACTCCGCTACTGCAGCTGCTCTCGGGGCTGAGAAATGCTGAATAACGTCGGTTAATGCCTTGACATGCTGGTGAGAGCGCAGATCCGTGCTTCAGCTGGCTCGAATCAGCTTGTAGACACACACGCAGGGGACTTGCACACCAGAATGCCGCTGCTCTACAAGGCTGCATTAAGCACTGGGGTCGCGCTGTTTGTGTTGCGTGCACGGAGGAAACAAATGAGCAAACACAATGCAATATGCATGTGTGTGCTTGCATGTTATGTAAGGCTGCCGTCCTCAGTGCTCCTTGCCTGCCTTGCAGCATCCTAAGGAGCAGCTCTGGCCCTTAGGTTACACACGGATGATCAGCAGCTCGTCTCCTCAGAGGCACAGGAACACCACTAACCTAAGGAGGTAACTGAGCTGCTGCTTCCAGGGCTGTCCCTGGAGAGCCACTAGCCCCTTGGGACACAGGAGACACCCATCCCAATGAGTCACCAGAAAGGCTCTCTGGTTCTTCTTACAGGCAGGGCATGAAAAGGGCTTCGTCCCACACAGTGGCTAAATTGGGGACATGGCTCAGCATCATCGCTGCAGGCTGGACGTGGGGACACGGAGCCTGCAGGACTGAGCTACTGGGGTCAGCAGCTCCTGCCACCATCAAGTCAAAATCACGGGTTGTTGCTGGCTGATAGGAGAATTGGAGCTTGGGGGAAATGCCAGTAGGAAAAACCAAGGTGATTCTGTGCAAGGGAATGTGAGAAAATGATGGAGGAGCAAGGAGCAAGCAAAAGAGGTGGAAGAAAAAAAAGAAAAAAGGAAGAGGTTGAACTGAAGTGGTGCTCTAAGGAATGAGAGACAAAGGAAAAGCTTGTAAAGCCAGAGAAAAGCATGTAAAATCACTTTCTGGGGAAAAAAAAAAAAAAAGAGAGAGAGAGAGAGAGAGAGGAAGGACCCTTGGGTAGTAGTGAGGAGTATAGATGTACTTTCTCATTTTGCAGAAAGGTGGCTTTCCATATCTCAGCTCCGGCGGGTAATGGCAGTTTGGTTATTTCTAGCAACCCCCCCATCCTCCTACACGTTCAAATGTTCCTGTCAGAAATGGTCAAAATGTTTGAACTGATTTTTTTTTTCTTACCCTAAGGAGAAATGTCCTTCCCAACAATACAAACATTGTGACAGAAGAGGTAATTTTGGACGGAACGATTCACAATGCAAACAAAACCAGAATCCAGCGAGAATTATTGGCGTATCTGATTTCATCTGTGTTATGGCAGAAGTCTGAAGGATGCCTCACTGATTTTTGGCAGAAAAGGACTAGGACAGACAAAGAGGAATCAAAGTGCTGCTTTCCCCTCTCCCTGACCCAACCCTGAAGTTGTTTCTCTCAAAGGCAATTATTTCATCCAGCTCAGCCCTGCAGTAATGTTTTTTCTCCACCCATTTTTTTTTTGGAAACCAGGTCCAATAGATTAAGTTTCCAGTTACAGATATGAGAGCTATTCCCTGACCTCGTTATCCCGAGGAAAAGGGGTAACGTTATCCTTCTGCTCTCATTAAGAGCAGCCCCATCCAGCCGCGGGCAGGGCACGTGGGGACAGCCCCTGCTGTTCCCCAGCTCCCTGTGGGTCGCAGCAGGAAGCCTCTGAGAAGGCACAGGGAAAACCCGAACATCTGGAGCAGCTTGCGTGGCGCAGAGGTGAATTTATGGGCGATGCCGTCAGCAGTAGACGGCAGGTGGCACCCATGGATTAGCGCAGGGCTTGCTCTGGGTGCGCGTGAGCTTGGCTGGGCGATGCCTGAAGCGAGGGCCAGGAGAGATGCTTTAACTCCATCTCCTTGGGGAATTAATAAATAAGTAGGGAAAGGGGAAAAAAGGAGGGAAATGGGCCCTCTTGATTGCACGCAGGGACTGCTGTGTCCCATTTTTGCTGGCCTGGGGCACATTCAGGCTATTCTCTTCGCATTTTGTTAGCCTAGGGAGCGAGCTTGTATTGAGGCCCTGAATGCCTGGCATGTCCATAGGAAGCAGGCTTGCTCTGCCAGGGAGCAAAAAGTGCACTGCTCCTCCAGGGAAGTGAAGTGAGGGCACGCAGTGGCTGGCAGGATGGAAACAAGCCCCAAGGGACTTGAACAAGGGGAGCTGAAGGCAGCCAAGAGTCCAGACCATCAGGGGTGCTCACAGCGAGGAGATCAAGGCAAGAAATCTGTCTGTGGGGCAGGATCAGGCATGGCGAGGGCAACCAAGCTCAGATTCAGTGGGGCGACCCCTGCACAAGTCTATAACTAAAATGAAGGCAATGAAACTCAGATCAGACAATGAAATTTGGGTCATTTGGAGGCTGATGGAGGGACGAAGCAGAACAGGGGTTCATCACGCTGGGTGCTGCACACACCCATGCCATTTGTTGTATCTCCTACGTGATGCTTTGTCTGGCCATGGGGACATGGCCTGGGGACAGGGGACATCCCTCCAGATGCTGTCCATGGAAGGAGCCCCCAAGCAGCTCCAGACCCTTCAGGATGCACTAGGGTGCTACAAGGGCACCTGAGATGACACAAAATAAATACCAGCCACGAGAAGGAAGGGGAGCAGCCATGAGGGCACTACTGGCCTTTAAGGACCCCATTCAGCCTCACCTTCCTCTCCATCAAGGAGCACCAGGAAGGACTAGGCAAAACGGGCTGAAAACCTTCCAGAAAGGTGCAGAGAGGGCTGGGACAAGCTTCCGGATGCAAATGCAAAAAGTAATTTCTGCAGAAGGATTTCTCTATCGATAGGAGAAAACGAACAATAGGGGATGGCGGTGAGCGGCCACAGGCTCAGCTGAATATCTTCTGTATCTCTCTAGAAAAGCTTGGGGGAGTGCTGAGGGGGGGGGAGATTTAATTGATGGCAAACATTATGGGCTGCACAGAGGTAGAGGTGCTCCAGACTGCGCAGGGAGGACTTTTATAGCAGCTAGCAGATGAGCGTTGTGAAAGATGGCTGTGATTCTTTGGGCATTTCTGGGTTAGATTGCAGTAAAATTGCAGCAAGAAAGCAATTTTGCTTTAATCAACTATATAACAAAGCCCCAACACAGTGAAGAGCAGAAGGTGTCAGAAGATAGGAAATTGTCGGCATTGCTGGAGCTGAAAGATAAGATTGTACTCTCCATGGCTACACTAAAAGAGGATAAATGATCCACAGGGGCAATTCAGAAAGAAAATAACCTACAATTAAAGTTGTTTGAATAACAGTCTTAGGGAAGCACGGGAGGAGAAAAAAGCCAGTTTCAGTGGAAAGTCTGAAGTCTCCTTCCCACGTGCTTTCAGAAAGCAGAACTTTTTTTTTGGGAAATGAAAGAAAAACTGAGCAGGGCAACCCCTACAGAAGAGCAAAGGATGAGTTATAGGGGACCCTACAGGGATGGGAGGAGGTGGTTGTGTTCTGCTCAGCACAGGTGGGACCTCAGCTCCGGTCTTGTGGCTCTCGGCTGCCTCCAGCCATGACTCCATCAAAGTGGGGAGAGGAAAAGGGCTTAATTTGTGGGGAAGCAAATACAGGGTGAAACCTATCTGTGAGTGTGACCCCTGGCACCTTCACTGGGTTTTGGGTGGGTGGGCTGGGTCGGGCAGGGCTTGTGACCGTGTCCCCAGGTGGGTCCTGCTATGGGACAGGGGAGTCCATGCTGCAAACCTCCCCTTGAAACCCCAGAGACCCTCAGGGGAAAGCGTGGGGGAACGAGGGGCTGAATTTTGGATCCATCATCGCATGTGACGGCTTCGCGAGTGGGAATCTCCTGATTTTTTATTTTTTATTTGCAGGACCGCTCCCAAGCAGGCAGCAGGGATATTTGGAGCGAGTCGGCACCTCCCGTGCTGCAAAATCCCCCGTCCCACCAGCCACCTGCCGAGGGGCCCCGCTGTAAGCAGATGGCTGCGGGGAGGGCTGCGGGGAGCGCTGCGGGGCGGCGTGAACGCGGCTTCCTCGTGCGCCACGCTGCTCGGGCAGCTGCGGGGTGGAAGCCGAAGGCGGCCGCCCCAGCCGAGCTCCGCGGTGACTTGTGCGGCTGCCACGCTGCCTTGCGTGCTGGCAGCTGGCTCGGAGGAAGAGAAGGAGGAGGAGGAGGATGCTGAGATGACGGAGGAGCTGCTTTGGGAAGGGCTTTTCTTGGGAAAGTTCTTCTGTGCGGCGCGGGGTGGGCTCCAAAATTGTGTGGCTGAGCTGGAAACGGGGCCCACCAGCGCTCTGCTTCCTGAAATCAGCTGCTCTGCGAGCACCAGCGTGGGGGCTGTTCCCTCCCAGGTCTCCTTTCCCTTCTGACCATCCCTTTTCCACCATCCCTGTCGGCGTTCGGAGCCAGGACAGCAGCTGGGGGCCACCCTGGGTGCTGCCAGCATCCTGCTGGGTGTCCAAGGGCCAGGAGCAGTAGGGCACGATGCGTCCTGAGGCTCCCAAAGGTCTGTGTCAAGGCAACCTGAAGGTTTATTAGGGTTATTGTTGCTTTGTGGGTGGAAAGCCTGATTTTGTCCAACTTCACCCACCTTTGATGTGGTAAATAGAAGTGCCAGTGACTGAGAATTTGCATGTGGCTGCTCTGAGCGGCTTTGGGGTGAACGTGGTGCCAGAGCACGCAGACTGCGACCAGCACAGCTTGTGTGCGAGCACAGCAAATACCAAATAGCCCGGGCAAATCTGCTTTGTATGGCTTGCTCCTCACCAGCACGGCATCTGCTGAAGTTCTGCACGGCTGGGCCCTGCTGTCACCGCGTGGGACACCAAAGGCTCTGCTTTGCTGCTACCCCGCTCCTTTTTCTGCTTGCTTGCTTGTGCACAAACTCAGCTCGTGGGCTCCAGAGTGAGCCAAAGAAAACACCTTAAGGAATGGCTCTAGAGATGACAAAAATACTATTTTTAAAAGATGAATTGATGAAAGCCGTGCTGAAAGCAATCCTGCAGAGGTGTTGCTGGGGAAAAGAAAAGCCTCGTGACTTTCCTCTGATAAGAAAATATTCCTTCCTCACGCTGCTGGCGTCCCCCGGGGGGGAGTTTGTGCATCTGGAGTCCATCGCCGGGCTCTCTGCTTCTGAACGACTGCCGTGTGCTGCAGAAATCGCTGAGCTCCCTCCAGAGCAGCCTCCCACCACGTGCATGGACCCGAAACATCTGCGCTCAGGCGGCGGTGAGTGACTCACTGTCCCCAGCCCCAGCATGGCCACATCCGAAGCGTTTCGGCTCCGTTCCTCCAAGCGAGCAGGGCTGAGGCCGTCCCAGCTGCAGCCTCAGCAAAAAGCCCCAGGAACAGCAGGGCAGGACCAGCACTGGGCTTCTCCCGGGACCAGCTCCTCGCTCTGCTGAGGCTCCGAGCAGCCCCAAGCCCTCTCTGCTCCTCTTTTTGCTCCGAATCACTGGCAGGCGTTATGAATATGCATGTGCCCCAGCACCTTAGTGCGTCTCCTCGAGCAGATCCTGGCTGAGCGTAAAATTAAACTTGCAAATCGCCGCCTTTTCTTTGCCTTCCCGTGTTTGTTTGCTTATTTATTTATTTATTCATTTTTCTGTTGTCATCAGCTTTGTTATCATGCACATACCTCGGGTACTTCAGGGTGCGAGGAAGGAAAATTAGCCAAAAATACTCATTTGGGACAGAGCATCCACTATTTAAATTCCTCCCTGGAAGCCTTGTTCCTTGTTAATTATGAACAGGCTTGCAAGCAGCATCGATTTTAATTTCTAAGCTAGCGTTGATGTGGAAAAATCTGCCTTTGTTTCAAAGGGCGTTTTAGATTTTATTTATTTTAACAGTAAGGAATCGCTGGCGCTCAGACACTGTGATGTCTGAGCCCTGCATTGGCAGTTCGCATCTTTTTGGGGTCTTTTTGCTGAACCCCTCGGGCTTCACTTGCATTTCTGGAGCTGGGTAGGGACTCCTCTCCTGCAGAAGGCCCCTGCAAGCCCAGCTGGGCTCCAATTGGAGACGGAGGGCTGCATCCTTTTTGGTAGCATCCCCCAAAAATGCCTCTGGGTGGATGGGGCTCTTGCGTCTGGTCTCCAGGAGCTGTGCACAGCCACCACCCCCACCAGGCTGGGCACGGACAGAGGCACCCTCCCGATCTGCAGGCACAGCTGCAAATCGAGCTCCCAGTTTTGAAGCGTAGCTGCTTTTGAAGTGTATTTGCTTCATCCTCGATTGTTCTTGTTGCTCTCACCCACGGAGCTTGGGTCAAGGCTTTGCCAGCTCCATCACCACAACATCCTTCCTTGCTCACAGGGAAAAAATAAAAAAAAATCAAGTGGTTTTAAATATAGCACATCTCAGGGTATTTTTATTTGCTTTTTAGCTCTGAGCTCTCCAGGTTTGGTTGGTCCAGCTTTGCTCTGTAATCAAAAGGGTGAGGAGCTTCCTTTTCTCCCCCGCAGTGAGACCGAAGCCTCCCACGTGGGCACTGGGGCCACCGAGTCATGGGGACGATGCGGGAGCCTTGGGGACACGGTGAGAGCTGCCCAGGTACCGTGTGTCTGAGGTCTTGCTTTCGTGGGCACCCCCGCACTGCGCCTCCCAAATATTTGGGGGTCCCTCCCTCTCTAGCAGCGTCTTCCACCGAGGATGGTGTGGGGCTGCCAGTGCCTCTGCACCCCTATTCCCCCAGCTCTGTATACCCCAACCCCCAGCTCTGTGCACCCCAAGCTCTGTGCACCCCAATTCCCTATCTCCATACACCCCAATCCCCCAGCCCCACACACCCCACACCTAGGGCACCTTGCACCCCAATCCCCCAGCCCTGTACAGCCCAATCCCCAAGCTCCATGCACCCCAATCCCTTATCTCCATCCACCCCACACCTGAAGCTCCCTACACCCCAATCCCCCATCCCCCTATTCCCCAATCGCTGGCCCCATGCACCCCAATTCCCTATCTCCATACACCCCAAACCCAGGGCTCCCTGCACCCCAATCCCCCAGCCCCCCCAATCCCCTATCCCCGTACACCCCATACCTGGGGCTCCCTGCACCCCAATTCCCCCAGCACTGTACACCCTAATCCCCAAGCTCCATGCACCCCAATTCCTTATCTCCATACAACCCATATCTGGAGCTCCCTACACCCCAGTCCCCCAGCCCCATACACCCCAAACCTAAGGCTCCCTGCACCCCAATCCCTAGCCCCATGCACCCCAATTCCCTATCTCCATACATCCCAACCCCTGGCCCCATACACCCCAACACCCCATCCCCATGCACCCCAATCCCTGGCCCCATACACCCCAATTCCCTATATCCATACACCCAAATTCTAGGACTCCCTGCACCCCAATCCGTGGCCCCACACACCCCAATTCCCTATATCTACACACCCCAACTCTAGGACTCCCCGCACCCCACCCCCCGGCCCCACACACCCCATTTCCCAGCCCCACACCCCCCATTCCCCCCTTCCCCCCCCGGCCCCTCCTCCCCCGCCGGACCCCGGGCAGGAAGCGGCCGCAGCCAACCAGGGCCCGAGCGGATCCGAAGGGATCCGACGGGATCCGAAAGGAGCCGAAGGGAGCCGGAGGGAGCCGAGCGCGGCCGAGCGGGGCCGGGGCGCGGTAGGTGCGGGCCGGGCGGGGACGGGGGGCGCCGGGGGAGCGCCGGGGGGGGGGCTCCGGGCGCGGCCCCCGGGGCTCCGGGAGCGGCCCCGGCCTCGGCCGCAGCCCCGGGGCCTCCCCGGGCTTTGTGCTGGCGGGGGGGGAATGAATGGGACCGGCAGGGGGGGCCCCGAGGGGCGTGGGGGGGCTCCGCCGCCTTCCCCTCGCTGGGGGCTCCCCCTCGGGGCCCCCCCGGTTTGGGGCTGAGCCGCGGGGAAGCGGCTTGGGGAGGGAGCGACGGGGCGGGGGGGGGGGGAGCGGCGAGGTTCCCGACACCCTTTGGGTGTCTTTTTTGATTTTCTTTGATCTTTTCTTAATTGTTTGAATGGATAGTTTTTGATTATTATTCTTTTTTTGTTTTTTTTTTTTCCTTCCCCCCCCTCTTCCCCCCCTCTTCCAGGGTGCTGAGGAGACGCCCCAGCGATGCTCTGCCCGCTGCTCGCCCTGGCGCTCAGCCTGGCAGGTGAGGGGGGACCCCTTGGGGGGAGCAGGGACCCCTTTGGGGTGAGTGGAGACCCCTCTGGGGGAGCAGGGACTCCTTTGGGGTGAGTGGAGACCCCTCTAGGGTGAGCAGAGACACCCTTAGGGTAAGTGGGGACGCCTCTGGGGGAGCAGGGACCCCTTTGGGGTGAGTGGGGACCCCTCTGGGGTGCTCCTCCCGGGCACAAAGAGGGGCAAACCCTCACCCACCGCCGCGGGAGGAGGGTCCCGGTGTTGAGGGGCTCCACGTCCCACGTGCTGCAGCCAAATGGTGAAGGCACAGCGGGGTCACGTCCTGAGGGATGTCACGGGGCTGGATCCGGCCCCACACTCGGCAGCTCCCAGACCTCCTCCGGGCACGCCATCAGCGCCCGCTGGCTCCTGGAGAGGGATGAGTGGTCCTGGCCTGGCTCCCTGAGCCCTTTGCCAGCACACCAAGGCTCGACCCAAACCCCTGGCATCGCTGCAGCAGCCCCCTGCGGCTCCACAGCACAGGGGGGCAGTGGGGAAGATTCCTTTTGGGATGCTCGCCAGCCAGCAGCCAGGCCGGGTGATGTTCCTAAAAACCACCCACAGGCCTTTATTAATAGCCGGAGGGAGCTGTGACGCCGTGGGGCCTGCCAAGAGCCAGGCTGGCTGCCCGGGCGCTGTGCTTGTGTCTGTCCGTCTGTCTGTCCATCCGTGTCCCCTGGCAGGGCTCAGCCAGCCTGGCTCCCTCCTGAGCTCCTCTCCTGCAGGGATTTATTGGGGTCAGGGTGTCAAACCTCACTGCCGATGCACCTCCCTTGGTGCCAGGTGGGATTTTTCCCCCTTTCCTTCCCCGTATAACACTGAGGAACGTGGCTCTGCTGGGACATCCCCACCCACTGCCATCATTCCCTAGGGGACAGGGGGCGAGTGGGTGGTGAGGGTCTGGGGGACGGATCCACGCCTCCGCCCGCGCCACTGCCAGCTCAGCAAGTGCCACCCAGTGCCACCCAGTGCCACCTGGGGCTGGCAGAGGGACCTGGGCACGTCCCACCTGGGCATGGCACTGGTGCCATCTAGCGCCGCTTCATCGCCTCCATCCTCTCTGCAGCCCGCCGTTGGGGTGGCTTCTTGTAGACCCTACCAAAACAGAAGCGGCCCCGAGCAGGTTTGGGCACCCACGGGGTGCTCCTGGCAGTGCTGTCCCCGTGACGGGTGGCACTTGCTGCCTGCTGGCAGCTGAGGGCAGCAGTGCCCCGGGTTTGGGCTCACCCCTGGGAGGCTGCTGCTGTCCCCAGCTTCGCTTTGCTGGGAAGGGCTGGAGATGTTTTCCTCCCTTCCCAGCCCCTCGATTCTCTTAGTCATTAATTAGCCAGCTGGATAATTAAGGAGATGCTTCTCTCCTGCAGGTGCCATGGAGATCCAGGTCCCGGAGGAGCCCGTGGTGGCCCTTTTTGGCCGAGACGCCACCTTGCGCTGCTCCTTCTCCCCCGAGGCCAATTTCAGCCTGGACGACCTCAGCCTCATCTGGCAGCTGACGGACACCAAGCGCTTGGTGCACAGCTTCTCTGGCGGCCGGGACCAGCTGGCCTGACCAGGGCGGGGGCTACGCCAACCGCACGGCCCTCTTCTACGACCAGCTGGCCCAGGGCAACGTCTCGCTGCTCCTCCGGCGCGTGGAGATCGCGGATGAGGGCAGCTTCACCTGCTTTGTCCGCGTCCGTGACTACAGCAGCGCCTGCCGTGACGCTGCAGGTGGCAGGTGAGAGGTGGAGAGGTGTCCCGGGGTGCCTCCCCCACGAGAAGGGTTCTCTGTCACACTTTCATCCTCCACGCAGCTTCTTTCTCCACCCGTGTGGTCTCCACATGAATTCAGCCCTCCAGCAGGCTGCATCTCCCCCAAAATATTCCTCACAGGGGGGCTGATCCCTTCCTTGCTGTGGTGGGGAGATTCTCGGCTCAGGTGCCACCTGAGGCAGTGTGGTCAGGAATGAATCTGAGCTGGGGAGGGTTCAGCTGGTTGCTGTCATCCGCTGGAAGGTGGTGGGTTGCTCCCAGTCCTTTGGTCACCTCCATAACCTCATGCTGGCTTTCCTTTCCCTTTCAGCTCCCTACTCCAAGCCCAATTTGAACCTGGAGCCCAACAAAGACTTGAAGCCGGGGGACCTGGCGGCCGTGACCTGCCACGCATCCCGCGGCTACCCCGAGGCCAGCGTCCTCTGGCAGGACAGCCAGGGCACCAACATCACGGAGAACATCACCACGTCCCAGGTGGCCAACGAGGAAGGTCTCTTTGACGTGCACAGCGTCCTCCAGGTGCTGGTGGAGCCCAGCAGCACCTACTCCTGCCTGGTGCGAAACCCGGTGCTGCAGCAGGAGACCCATGCCTCCGTCACCATCACAGGTGAGGCAGCCTGGACCAAATTTGTGA